CTCTCTCTCTCTCTCTCTCTCTCTCTCTCTCTCTCTCTCTCTCTCTCTCTCTCTCTCTCTCTCTCTCTCTCTCTCTCTCTCTCTCGATGTACATGTTCACACACGAGAGCTTTTCGTTTGCTCCCATCGAAATCCGGGCACGCAAGCTTGATAATACCATTCGGTTTATTATTTGCAGAAACTGGATTATCCTCGTTGACAATGTGTACGGTTACGAGAAACAGCTGTCTACCTAGGAAATAGTGGATTAGCTTTGGGAACATGCGGTAACATACTAACGCTGCGAAACATCGTGGTCCAAGAATGTCGTCTTGCGTTCTTCTCGTGACGAAAACGATCCTCTCACTCTCACTCACTCTCTCTCTCTCTCTGATAAAGGATTTATCATATAATTTATAGATCGACGAACAACCGACATAGAAAATATATGTACAATAAAATTTTATTCAACGAACAATCGGGAACGAAAGATCGATTGGCGCGATCGACTTTGGATCTCTACAACATTTCCCTTTCTCTAACGCGATAACTCTAAAAAACACGATTACTCGCTCGCTCACCGACGAATAACTAAAAAAAAAAAAAACAAGACACTCGCTCCCCGACAATTTCACGCTTCGCGATAATTTCCCATAACCATAATGTTAAGGGGCGAAGATTTGCTTGTAATACGGTGTATGTAACGCATCTGAGCACGGTCGTTTCGTGGACGTCGTAGATAGAACTAATTTGGACATTATGAGCAAGGTCGTCTGTGCGGAGCAAGGCAATAGAAGATAATGTCGTTAGGCTGTGCTGCATTACGCAGGGATTATCACGATTAATTACGCGCACCTGTGCCGCGTGCGTAGGCCGAATACGCGAATATTCCATCTTAAATCTCGGCCAGCCTTCTCCTCTTTCTCCCCTTCCTTTTCCACGTTTAAAAAGTCGACGATTCATCGTTTCTCTTTCCCGAACGAGAAGGGGCGCGATCGTTTTCGCTTTTGTCATTCGCCTTTTATTTTTGCAAAGTTACGTTGGCACACCGTTCGGTGGAAACGGTTGGTGTCGTGTAGCGATCTCTCGTCGTTCCTATTAACGCGACAAATTTCACGGAGCGAAGAACGAGAGAAAGAGAGACAGTTAACACACCGGGCAACCGAACAAAGTTGTCGCAACCAGGCCTGGTGGGCATCGTTGGAAAGTTTTGCCCGGTAAAATGCGACAGGATTATCGCCATTAATCGCGCCACTCGTCACAGGACAGATTACACAATTACGCTTCTACGATCGTGATGGTTATACACGGCTTACACATTTACACATATCACAAACGGTGGTTAAACAGTGGTGTCGGCGCGAAATGACAACTTTTGAGCAAACACGTGCCGACACGCTTAACGAAACGTTCGCCGAATTTTTGGCGTTTATCCTAAAACGGCCGAGAGAATTTCTTTCAGGGATGTGCGAATCGGCGACGATTCTTTTTTTTTTTTTTCTTTCTTTTTTGTTGGTCATTCGCATCTTTCGAAGCAAGCATCTTTAACGATCTTAAAGACACATAATACCCGGACCCGTTTCGTTACTTTGCACACAGGTTATTATTATCCTTTCGTTTCGTTTCTTTTTTTTGTTCCGCCGATTGATACACGCAGGCACGCACACGTCATCACGCCTCCTCTTCTTCGCTCTCGATTCGATTCGTTCCCTTAAGAATTATTTAACGTAACGCGTATCACGATAAAGTCGCTCACCTCTTGAAGATCAATAATTGGCAGTTCTAGATCCAACCGTAGTCTCTCGAGGATGAAATCTCGTCGAAACGAACTGCACCTGTAACGCATAAAATAAAACGCATACGCGCGCGCGCGCACGCATGCAACCTCGACGAAATTTATTACCCCTCTTTTATCCCTTTTAAATAGAACAACGTTATATACGTTTCCCCTTTCGAAATATTATCACAACGTTCATTTTTCTATATTTCGCACGGCACGCGTGGCGCGACACAATGGTCAGTTCGTGGCCGTGGAATGCAGCACGAGTTTCAACGTGGTGAACATCATCAATAGGGCGCTGCAAGCCATGACAGATGGAGACGATGCGATGCTGTGCTGCATCGCCGCTGGATTATCCCCTTTGAACACGTGCACCAGCACTCGTGCCGGTTGAGCGTTACTCGCCTCGCAGGTGTAATTTCCGGAATGGCGATCGGACGCGCGGGGCACCTCCAGCCAACTCTCCCTCCCCACCAGATCGGTACTGACGTTCACCCCCTGATCGACGTCGTAGTTGATCATCCGGAAGTTATGGTACCAGAATAAATAGGAAGGCGTCTCGGTCGATTTTTTTACGAGGCAGTGAAGCTGCAGAGTGCTACCTGGCCTCACGAACTTCTCCGAGGGGCCGGCTATCTCTGCTCTGGCCTCTGCAAATGGCACAACGTGACACGTCAGACGTGACCAGCTTACCGCGTCCCTTATCCCATATTGTTTACGCAGGGTCCAAGGTGGTTATGAGAGGTAGCAAGGATGAGGTATGCATCGTGGCTGGTTAAGGATCGTACGGGGATAGCGTACCAAATCCCACTCACGCTCTCCCTCTCGCTCTTTCTACATTCTTTCAACCATCTCGTACGAGCAAGAGCAACCTTTTGCCCTGTCTCTCCCTCCCTATCTCTCTCTCTC